TTCTTCTTTTCTTTTTGCAGTCTTTACAACAATTGTTTATATTTTGTCTTTGACCAATTATTTTAGTAGGGATGTTTGCGAATTGGATTTAATTATTTTCTTTTTGGGAAAAACAAAACTGATTCGATCTATTTCAGTTTTCTTATAATAATATCTTATTGGTTTGATTCAAAATTTAAATTTAATCTAATTCAATTCAATTTAAATCAGTTTGAATTTGATCTTTTTATTAATATTTCAATACATTAATTCATAAAAATATAAGTCTAAGTTTATAAATCCACCCTTATATAATAAACTTGGCTTCAAAGTGATTTAATTGCTTATTATCATCAACATACTTCATCATTAAAAACACATACTTTTTAATTTTTGGAATCGCTTTTTTTACGGTCAATGTAGATAACTTCTCTACATTGAGACTGATCAAACCAAATACACTATGGACAAGCCAATATGCACTGAGCCCAATCACACACGGTTGAGTAGTCCGCGTTGAATAGTCTGCGTAGTTCTTCGGTATGGGCTTGGAGGTCACGTAGTGGATCGTGCCTTGTCTTTGTCCTTCACGTTGGTGAGTTAACACCAAATGGGGGAGATACCTGCGAAGACACTCTGATGCTTAAGTAAGTATCAGAGGCATGAATTGTATGTTGTTAATGTAAAGGATGTTTGTACCTTGGTGGTATATCGTTTGCTTATATAGTAGTTACGATGCCGCATTAGTTAAGGCGGCTTGGCTTCTGAGTGGCCAGGCTTGGGCTGCAGGTCAGTCAGGGGACCTGACTAGCCTTATATGCTATAGTGTCTAGTGGTAGAGTCGTGGCGAGCTGGAGCTGTCCGTTGTTTATTGGATTCAAGGCGCGGTGGGGTTGCCTTGGGCCTTAAGTTTACTTCCTAAAGGGGTTTCATACGCGATGTGGGCATCGCGTCTTGTCTGTCGCGATGAGGGCATTGCGTCTTGCGTGTTGTACTTGTCCCTTGTGCTTTGCTCTGGTCTTTAATGGGTTTGGGCTTCCTTATGTGTCGTTGGGCCCTGATTGGGCCTATATTTTATCCGGATCAGTTGCCCCCTAGCTTGCGGTTTTGTCATGTGGCAAAGCCGTGAGCTATATGCTGTTTTTGAGGCGCGGTAGTTTGCAACTCATATGTCATTTCTATGTGCCGCGGTAATCATGTTTACAGTGTCATCATGACCTTCAGCCGCTTAAGAACAGTGGATTAGACGTTTAATCTGTCAGAAGCATTAAATGTTATTTTCATTACGTGGGTGTTTAAGGACAGGCGTGGGTGGTTGTTTAAGCGAAACGCTTCCCCTTCCCGCCACGTGTTCTTGTAAACCCGTTTTACTCAACATGTTTCGTGGCTTTCAACCTATCCGTTGGAGAAAAAACCTTTCGTATTTGTGTTGAGCTTTTTAGTTTGGAGGGAAAGACACTTCGCTGATACTGTGAAAAATCTCTCGTCTCTTAGTGCTTATTTCTTCTGCATTTCCGGTGGTGACACGTCCTGCTCATGGTGTGCGATTCCTGAAGTATAAATCTCAGGTATGTTCTTCCTCCTTCCTCCTGATCTTACCTGTGTTTCTTTCATCTTTTTTAGCCTTTTCCTCCTTGTGTTTAAGGTATGTCTGATAATCGCAAAGTGTGGATTTTATTAGATTTTTCGAACGGTTTGGCTCGTCTAGTCCTCCTTCGAGATTGTTACCAAGATCAAGGTCTTTGGGAACCAGGGATAAGCGGCCTACTGTGGGATGTATAGCCCCTTGTTCCAAAGCTTACGCTAGCCACGTCCCCTCAGTTTGTACGTTTGAATTAGGGTCATCTTCGCGACAATCCAATCGCGGAAAGACATTGTCTCAACATAGTTCGTCTTTATTTCCCAAGGTTTCTCTGAACATGTCTAGGCCTATTGTGATATCGAGTGACTCTTCTTCGAGTACTGAGGGTAGCTATAAGTTAGCTGATTCAAGAAGCCCTAAATCGCCTTCCTTAAATTCATCGCGCGATTTTTCGTGTTCATCGCGCAAGAGTCTTTTGGTCAGAAGAGCCCCAGTCCTTTGCCTTTAAATGTAATTTATCCAGCCGGGTATCCTTTTAAGAAAAGGAATTTTGATGATTATAAACCTATTTTTTCTGACTTGTCTTCTTCAACTGATTCTTCTTCTTTTGAATCAGACTTTGTGTCTCCCCAAATTAAAGAAATAATGGCAAGACGCGGTACGCACGAAAAGAAGAAACTGAAAGCGCAATCAGATGCCAAGAAGAAAGTTGTACGCATTAGTCCTGATGAAGAATCCCCTGAGAGGCGGTCCCCTGAAAGGAGAAACATACGGGACGAAGATACCCTGAGTTGGGTGGCAGATACAGTTCTGAAGACTGAGTCAGTGTTTTGTTCTCCAGGGGAGTTGGCAGAAGTAACTGCAGCCATCCACCTTACTCCTGATAAAGCTTTTGATGATCAATGGGAGATTGGTGTCGTCCCGAAGAATGAACGCGTTTGTTCTTCGCGGGCAGAGGGATCAACCAGGCACTTTATGATGATGTACTCTTACTTCTTTTTCTCCATAGGAGTTCGTTTTCCCTTTTCCTCTTTCGTCTGTAAATTGTTGGCGCATTTGAATGTGGCGCCTTCACAACTGACCCCCAATGCCTGGGGTTTTATCAGAGTATATGAGATGGTGTGCAAGGCTTATGGTCTGTTCCAATCCGTAGAATCATTCTTGTATATGATTAGTGTAATGGGACCACGTACTAGCTGGATATCTTTTAGAAGCAAAGTGAAGTTCTGTGGGTCGTACTGTAGACAAATCAATAAGTGGAGTACATAATATTTCAAGATCTAACCCGCCGAAGGTACCAACCTCTTTTTCTTAGGCGAGGATGAGACTCCTATATTTCCTTTATACTGGTCCGAGTATCCTTCGAGTAGTGCCATCTTGAGTTATAACTTGAGTGACCTAGAACAGAAGACTGTGACCACTTTAAGTAAAATTGCTCGTGAGGCTTCTGATATGGGCTCGCTGAGCACGTACACGATTTAAACGAATACTCTGAGGATGATATTCGAGCTTTTCTGGGTAACTTGGACCCTTGCTCATTTTGTCAATGTTTTAATCAAGGTACCTTTGTATATCACGATGTGTAGATATGTTGTAAGTATGTCTAATCATGAATTTCTTTGTTCTGGTTTGCAGATAGTGCAATGACGACGTCTTTGAGTAGAATGGAACAGATTGCTGCCAATCGCGCGGCTATCGCTGGTTCCTTCGCATCTCCCCAACCTACCATGTCTGCAGCCGCCGATGTTGCTGAATCGAGCGAGCATGCTGCCGCGCGATTGAAGTCAGCATTGAAGCCCTTAACTCCTCATGCTACCCCTCTAGATGTCATCCCTCTTGCGGTAGTGGTGGAGGATACCGCGAGGGGTAAGAAAAGATCCTTTGAGGAGATAACCGGGAGGTCCACTGCAGGGTGGCTGGACTTTGGTTGGAGTTTAGACAAAGATATGCATGCTCAAGGCAGGGGATTTGGTTCCCGTCTTGAAGCGCTACCTCGGGACCAGTGGTTACAGATTTCCCAAACTTTGAGCATAGCGGGTCAATTCATTATGTCCGTACCTGGTAAGTAACTTGGTACTCTACTTGTTGTAAGATATGATATCGCGCTAGTACTTATAACTGTTTTTCATGTAACAGGTTCGGTGGACTTCTTGAAAGAACGTATTGATGAGCTAAAGGGTGAAAATACTCGGCAACGCGCTGATTTTGAAGCCAAATTGAAGAAGTCTGAGGAGGAGGTAGCCAAACTGAAGGCGGTTGTGGAGAAGAAGGATAGTGCCCTGAAGAAAATGACGACCTCCAATAAGGGATTGGAGGCGGAGAAGACTGATATGACCAAGCGCGTTGTGGAGCTGGAAAGAAACGTTGATACCTGGGCCGAGGAGAAGGCTTTCTTGACCAGTGAGGTGAAGAGGTATCAGGGTTTGTTTGAGAAGGAGGCGGAGGGAACCTTTGTTAACGTAATGGAGCAAGTGCGTTTTTTCAATCCTTCCGCCAAACTGGAGAATGTGCATTATTTTTACTATTTCATCTTTACAACGTTTTTTTTTTTGGGTGAATTTTTTACAATGTATTTAAGTTAATATATACTTAATTTTACTACTAATACTATTTTATTTATTTATTTTTTGTGAAACTATTTTATCTATTTTTAATTATTAATCCAACCTTTATTCTTGCTTTTTTTATTTTACAAAATGTATAATATGATCTTTTATATTAACTTGAAATTATATCTAATTTATTTTTACATTTCAATCTTAATATAACTCAATAAACTATAATCGTTAGATGGATATAAATCAATAGTTACGATGAGAATAAGACCTTCTAAATCAAAAGATCTCTCCCTATATATGTGTGTACGTGTTTGCGCGCGTGTGTGTTGTTTTTATCCTTTTTTCTCTATTTTTTTAGTACTTTTCATTTGGATTTATCTGTCACCACCAATCTCAACTAGTTTGAAATAAAAGTATTGTTGATGATAATGTTGAATGTTTTGTTATATTACATCTTTACAACGTGTTTAAGTTAATATATACTTATTTTTCTACTAATACTATTTTAATTTATTTTTAATTATTAATTTAACATTTATTCTTGCTTTTTGTATTTTACAAAACGTATAATATGATCTTTTATATTAACTAGAAATTATATCAAGGTCGGATCAATGAATCAATGAGGAGTCCAATTTTATAACATTTGATTAGAAGTAAATAGATTTTGTCATCATGCTATTAACCTGCTAGTCACCCACTTTAGTAAGTTAACGCTTTTTTAGAATCGCAACTTAATAAATGAATAAATTATTTAAACTCTTCCGTGGCTTAAAACAAGTTTCCTACAGTGAGCTCAATTCTATGATTCATCTTTGACCTCATCTTTTCTCTTGATTTCATGCTTAATTAATTACCATTCATAGGATAACACTTTAACATGAAGCAGAAACATTCTACTTAGCCTCTTAAATTCACATACTAATATCACAAGTACTAATCCAGCTAAGTAATATGTTTACAACCCAGAGCCAAAGGACTTTTACAAGGCACGATATTGAAAAAGTACAAGACTTCAAGAGGAAGAAGAGAAGGTATCAATGATGGTTGTGTGAAGAGGGTCACTCAAATGGGTAGCCCAATTGTTAAGAGGACCTTTGCCAGTGGCAGCAGCTTGAACTGCAAAGCCAAGGAATGCAACCATTGCAAGACGTGCATGCTTGATTTCTGCCAATTGAAGTGTGGCTTTCTTCTCAGGGTCTGAGGCCAAACCAAGAGGGTCGAAGAACTTGCCACCTGGGTATAACCTCTTCTCTGGGTCAAGCTCAGCATTCCTCTGGAACTCGATGTATCCAATCACCAGAACTTCAATCCAAATCAATGTTGTAATTGAGAATGGAAGTGGTTGCCCAAGGTATTTTGATCCTTCTACTAGCTCCACCTGAAAATTAAACCCAACTCTATCATTAATTAACTACAAGACCTTAATACTAATCAAATAAAGAACACGCACTTTTTTTTATGGCTAACTTATATTTTTTGTGTAATAAGGAATATAAAATTTAGCACAATTGAGATAGAATTCAACCCTAGAATCGAGTAATTGCTATATAGGTTGTTTGGAAAGCAAAATTTGAAATTCAATTTGATTATGTAAGTTAAAATTATTTTTTAAGAAAATTATGCAATAGGAATTGTTTTGATATTGAATTTTATTCTAGTTGAGAAATCTCTATTCATAATTACTTTGAGTGAATGGTTCAATTTCAATTTTAATTATTTAAGTTGATTATTTTATGCTTATTAGTTTAGCCATTATAGTACCTTCACTTCATTGTTCTAAACAGGAATAATAACGTAAAATTAATAAAATAAAAGAACTCAATTAATCTTTAAAGCATTCTAAACATACAAATTAATTTTGAAACTAATGCAAATAATTTTTTTATATGAATTTGAAAAAATAAGACTTAAATTATAAATTAAGTTAATTTTTAATAATTCCAAACATAATATAAAGAAATTGACGACATTACTACTTTTAAAGTTTTAAAATTTTTGGCACAACAACCTCCATCGTTCTACATTTTTCCCCTTTTACTTATTGGAAGACACAAATAATATTCTAGTAAAACATAAAATATGAAAAAAAAAAGTTCAACAATTGTTATAAAACAATTATAGACAAGCAGAAAACATAAAACAATAGAACATGTACAAAAACACCAACCGAACCTGTTCAACTTTGAACCGAACCATCCACAATCCGGTTCAACCATGACTCGTTCTAAACACTCGTGAATTCGCTCTGGCCCAAGCTAAACTGGTATTAAATCGACATTGTCTATTTGAGTTGACAATGAAATGATGTCGTATTGGGTTTGAAAATAAAAAATGATAGTAATAAAAATTAATAAAGTACACAATAAATTAGAATTATAAAAAGAAAAATCATTTTCTCGTGCTACCCGATAAGAATTATCGGGTGTAATAGAGACAATATCACAAACCGGATCCACGGGCAAAAGGTAAAAAAATAAAAAAGGTGAGCTCACCTATGTTCTGTGTGTAGAAACTTGACTTCTCTAATACTCTAACGTAAAATGAGATAAATATAATCCTTATAAAAATCATCCTTCTCCCAAACATTAGAGCCATAAGGATACATGTGGTTATTATATTCGGGAAGGGGAAAAGTTAAACTTATAATGTATTTTCGTTTACAACCTCTTACAATTCATATTTTAACGGTTATCATTTATTGCAAATTAATATTTAATTAATAAATTTTATTTACAAAAATCTTAACCGTTAATTGACAAAAATCAACGATTAAGATATGATTATAAAAAATTATAAACAAAAATAACGTTCGGAGAATATGTTTATCATGTTGTTTCGTATAATTTTGTATCATGGTAGCACACACAAAATAAGTAAGACTCACTGTAAAAAAAAAAAAAAGGTAAATGGCACCAACTTTTAATGTGTGCATAGAAAAAATTGTCTTTCCTAAATCTACTGCATATTATAGCATGTATAAAGTTTAATAACACTGCTCCAAACGCATGCATGCAATAAAATCAAAGGCAGTACTCAGTAGTCAGTACTCTTAAATTGGTAAAGTAACAGAACAGAATCGCACCTTCCCGGCGTCTTGCCAGGTAACTCCGGTGACCCCCTCGACGGTGAGGGCGCCAAGCGTGGCGAGCATGGCCCACCTTCCGTGGATGAGTTCGCACTCTCTGAACCTCTGAAGGCCGAAAACCTCGCTGTACGGCTGAAACGGCGTCGATTTCACGTCCGCAAACTCCGTTCTTGTCCCGATCACATCTCCGGCGAGGTTCTTCGCCAGGTTCTGGTCAAGCGAGTCCAGATCGAACTGCAGATACTCCGCCGGCTTCCCCAGACCGAAAGGATCGAAACCGTAATCGCCGACGAGGCTTCCGTCGAGCCATTCCGGCGCCTTCGCTCCCGGGTACCACAAAGGCCGATCCGAACCCGGACCTGGCCTCGCCGATTTCTTAGCCGGGGCGGTTTTCTTTGATCCGAACCCGAACCTGGCTTGTACCCGACCCGAATTAGAGTGCACTTCTCGGAGACGTGTTCCGATGAAGGATGAAGTAGCTGCCGCGGTTGCGGTGGCCATGGCTTTGTGCTAATGTGCGCCGGTGTTGAGAAAAATGGATAGTTAGTTGAATTTTAAGAGAGTGGGATTGGAGAATGGAGATATATTTGATGAGTGGAAGCGATATTGGATAATCTACGGTTAGAGTTTTGTGGCCGTTGGATTTGGGTGAGTATCCATCTGACGGCCGAGGAGGCGTTTGGGCTTATCCTTATGCTTATCTGGTGGTGATGACGTGGACATTTCCTGTGGACCCCTTTATGGTCATTGAAGGTGACTGTTCTGTGAGAACTTGTGGTGCTGGTTCACTGGTTGGATGCTTTCCATTGCAAATTTAAAAAAATAAAAATATAATTCCTTTTTCACACACTAATCCCCAAATTTTATATGGATTATACACTTAAAAGCATGTGGCATTCATGTGTTTTTTTCTCTTTTTTCTTTTTACATGGCTTCACATTATATGTATTTTATACAATTTTATCTATGAGTAGAAAATAAAATTATCTCTTATAACATAAGAAATACATTCTTCTCAATTTTACAACCGGAAAAAAGAAGAGCATGCATCAATATTCAATTTTTTGACCACTGTAGCCCTTATTTAATAATTAATTATCAAATTGACCTTGATTATAAACTATTTCAAAAATTTAACCTTGCTTAAAAATATAACACCAATTTGTCCTTGTTTGACCATTGACCATCAAGCCTATCCGAATATTCCGCTCCCTACCCGAGTATTTTTTTAAAAATTTTACCCTACCCGGGTAGTCAAGGGGATACCCTGGTATATTTCAAAAATCTGAGAAAATGATTGAATTATTTACCCAGATAGGGATGGGGCTATCCGGATAAATTTCCTTCTTTATTTCCTGCGGGATTGATATTATTTACCCGAATAAAAAGGGGCTACCCGAATAAACGATTCATATAATGGCGGATTGAAACGTTCTTGCTTGCATGGTCGCTTGTTGATGTAGGTGTCAGATACGTCTTCAATACTCTCACGGCATATTAGCAAGAGCAGCATCCATGCTCCCGTTATTAAAAACAGTAAATGTGTAGTTTATAAAATCAGTGTTCCGGGTGAAAAAAAAACAGAAAAGAAAAGTACTCCCAGAAATAAAGATGAATCGTTTACCCGGGTAGTCCCCTTCCTACTCGAGTAAATAATATCAATCCGCAGGAAATAAATAAGGAAATTTACCCGGGTAGTCCCTCCTCTCTATCCGGATAAATAATTCAACCATTTTTCTAGATTTTTGAAATATATCAGGATATCCCCTTGACTACTTGGGTAGTAAAATTTTCAAAAAATATCTGGGTAGGGAGGGGATACCCGAGTAGGCTTGATGGTCAACGGTCAAACAGTGACAGATTGGTGTTATGTTTTTAAGCAAGCTTAAAATTTTGAAATAATTTATAATCAAGATCAATTTAGTAATTAACTATTAAATAAGGGCGGTCGAAAAGTCAGCAATATTCTCATCATGAGTATTTTATTATAGTCCCAAATGCCAATTGGAGAGAAATCGGATTGCATTGTTTTCTTTTTCTTTTTTTTTTCATATGGAAATGGTGCACAAGAAAAAGCTAATTTATATATGGGAATTAATTTTCTCATTTTATATGAAAAAAAATTCATGCTATATTCACAATACATGAGCGAGGTCCATAAAAAGGTAAGAAGACAAAAAAGTTAAGATGAAACTCACTCATATATTATAACTGTAACATGAAAAAAATTTCTCATGTAAAATGAGAAAACTATTTCAGTATTAATAAGACATGATTATTTTACACAACTATCATAATGATGATTGTTAATGGTCTGATGAGATAAAAAAGAAAGATGAGGATTGCGTATTAAGAGGAATTCTTTTACGGGTAAAGGATTTCTCCAGTCACCGGAGATAAAGTTATCTCCAGTAAGCTCAAAATGACGTCGTTTTGGGACGGAAATCAAGGTGTTTTGTAATTATAATATATTGCAGGGTTATATTAGTCTTTGTCATTATAATTTTTTAATCTTATAATCCAAAACGACGTCGTTTTGAGCTCACTGGAGATAACTTTATCTCCGGTGACTGGAGAAATACTTTTCCATTCTTTTATTTGATATATTTTTTAGGTTAAAAGTTTTTATTACATTATTGACGCATTTGATGGAGTTTCACTAGAAATCGTAAAAGCCGTATTTTTTGTTTTATTTTTTTGGTATAGGTAAAAGCTGTATTTTGTTTTCCCTTATTGTAGCCATCTATCAATTTAAAAGATATAATAGTTAGAAGACATAGTTAGCAACATAAAATAAAATAACATATGAAAACAAATTATATATGTTACGATTCTAGGAATCAATTCCCAAACAATAAAGACAAAAAATCGAAAGAAATAGAAATTAAACATCAATAACAAAACACACATGAATTTATTTGCTTCAAAAATTTGTGGTTAGTAAGATTTTTACATCCAAAGAACTTAAAGAGGGTTAAACATCCTCTGATATGCACTTTATTTAGAATCAAGAAAAGATAAAATGTTCACAGTAGCCAATAACAAGCTACAATACAAGAATGCTCAAGAAACTATAGAGAAAGAAATATACAAATACAATACACCAACTTTCTCTGAAGCACTAATATGAGATTTTCAGTGTAGTTCTCACAAACGGCCTCACAAACTCTCAAAGAACCCTAACTATGGTGTTTGAGAACGAGAGAGAAGAGAGCATATAGAATTTTCTCAACCAGTGAAATATGCCATGTGTCAAGTGTTATGCATGTGTGTTTTGTTAATAACCTTCACAGCTAACAAAAAGCCATTGTTTTGAGTTGTGTTCCTATTAACACAAACCCAACATATAGTTTGGGCCCCAGCGAAATGAATGGCAAGAGTATCATAGGGCCATTAACGAAATAGACAAACCAGATCCATAACAGAATAATAAAAGGCCACAATAGAATATTGTATCACACATGATTATTAGTAAATACCGATAACAAATCTCCATTTATTTACTAAATATATGACAGAAAAGCGCATATAAGATGTTTGTGGGCATTTAATCCTAGCTCTATATGCAAATGCATGCGTCTAAGGTGGTTTTAATTTTAGTATATTCAAGTCATCCCTAATTTTACTAACATGAATAATTTTTGTTAAAACATCGGCAAGGTTAATTTCAGTAGAAATTTTATCCATAATAACCTTACCATTTCCAATTATTTCCCTAATGAAATGTTCCTAACATCTATATATTTGGTTCTTTCATAAAATATTAAATTTATTGACAAATAAAATTGCACTTTGTGAGTCACACATTACTTTTGGTAGGTCCTTACTTAAACCGAACTCAAATATAATACCATTTAGCCATATTGCCTCTTTGATACCTTCAGTAAAAGCTACATATTTTGTCTCTATTGTTGAAAGGGCCACAATGTGTTGAAAGCTTGACTTTCAACTTACCACATTTCCATCCATAGTAAAACGAACAAACAAACTAGTGATCTCATTTTATCTAAATCAGCAGCATAATCAGAGCCACAATAATCAGTTATTTCAAAATTATTAAAATTCACAATAGAATAGTGCAAACTAGGGATGGCAAAAATAAGCCAACCTGTCGGGTTGGCTCGTAACCCGCAAAAAATGAGCCGGGTTGGGTTAGCAAAAATGAGCCGACAACCCGAGTCAACCAGACCCGAGCTAGCTCGAAAAAAGTTGAGTCAACCCACGGGTCAAACGGGTCAGCTCGCGGGTTGAGGGTTTATTTTTTTAATTAAAAAAATAATATCAAACTGCTGTCACTTTCTTTCGTTTCTCACACTATGTACTCCATCGGTGACCACTGCAAACCTAGCTTCGTTTGAATTCCCCTTCCAAGCTTCCACTCCTCACACTTTGTTTCCTTCAAAACATCGCACACTCGAAAGGTTGTTTCACCTCTTTTTCTTGTCGTCAACCTTTCTCCTTCTCACGCCTTGGATTTCATATGAGTCTTCCCGTTACATTTTCTATCTCCCTTCTTCTATCCCTTAGAAAAAAAAACTGCTTATTGGGTTTACCTCATTATCTGTTACTTTTCTTCTGGTTTCCCATGCATTTTGATTGTTAAAGCCCTACAATGTTTTGTTTTTTACGTTCCTTAAACGACCTCTTTTGAACGATTCTTGCTTCTTGCTATGGAGATGCTAATAAGTAAAAATTAGTTATATTTTTCTTGCTACCTAGACAATCTGTGTGCTTCCAATTATAAATATAATTAAGGTAGTATGAAGTTAAGATTCTTTTTAATACTGAGGGTTAGCTCACTTGTATTTGTAACAACAATTGTTTTTTTTTTCGAGTCAACTTTAACTCGGCTAGGGTCGAGTTGGGTTAGGTTTTTTGTCTCGTTTTTTTTTAGCCTAACCCTAACCCGGCTCATTTTTTGGGGTTACACACGGGTAGGCCGGGTCGAGATAGGTTGACCCGTTTTGCTAACCCTAGTTCAAACAGTAGTTTACAGATCTACTTAGTTATATTAGCAACCATTTTAAAGCATTCCAATGTTTTTTTAGATGTTTTACTCATGTATCTACTCACTACACTAACACCATATGAAATATATGGTCTAGACTTTATCATAGCATATATTAAGCATCCTACAACATTTTAATAAGATATATTACACATGTATTTTGCTTCTTCAGGAAACAGATTACCATCAACAGCTTTTAGCCTGAAGTGACCACCTAAAGGAACACTTACAAACTTAGCTAAGTACATGTGAAAGGTCTTCAAGACTTTTTTCATATATTCAGATTGGGAGAGAATGAGTTTTCTCTCTTCCTTTATCCTTGAAATCTCCATGCCAAGTATTCGCTTGGATTGACCAAGGAATTTCATCTTAAATTCCTTTTTTAGCATGCTTTTCAATATATTTATCTCACTTAAATTCTTTGAAGCAATGAGAATATCATCCACATATATCAATAGGTAGATATAACAATCATTATGCAACTATTTTTAATACACATAATAATCAAAGCTACTTCTAATAAAGCCTTTGGACATAACAGAGCCATCAAACC